GCTTGTTCATTTCTTCCTTGCAGCAGTCAAGCCTTTGATATTTAATTGCCAATATGGTGACACTTAACAGGCAATGAACTGGATTATTGCTGCAGACTCTCTACCAGTGACCCTGTAGTCAGACCTGGTTGGAGATGATAACACAGTCTCTCCGTGATGAATCAATTCTTGATGTCAACGCGATGATATATATATCCCCAAATCACCGCAAATAGGCCAAGCCTTCGAAAGAGAGAGAGCCCTTGGAGTACCTCTTCGTGAAATATACCGTGATTAACACCAAGTCTTGACTGACTTTCAGTCTTCTCTGAAGGACATTCAGAATTCTCTCTGCTGGAAGACTTTTCTCTCACTGTCTTCGCAGATGGATGGAGCAATAGAAACATCCTCGACGGATTGTGTACGTGAAGCTCGAAGAGGAATGGCTTCTTTTTCCAGCGTGAGCTTCATCGTTAGATGGCTGAGCCAGATCAGGGGCTTCGCTGGTATAGATCCGGCTTGGTAAACGCCAGCTTTCAGTAGGCTGGTTGGCTCAAAGTGACCTATCTGGTCCAGATCACAAGTCATTTGATATCAAACATCTCTCGGTGGCACACAGACTAGGCGTAAATGTCAGTCACTGCGATTGGTGGACTGAGCTGTTACTCGAAATGGCCTATCTACTACTAGTGGTTGACTGTTTTTTGAGGCCTGCACCCCATGCCGTCTCATGCATGGGATGAGGGTGTTAGAGGGGTCAACGGCAGCAGGTATGGATGATGAATCTACATAAGGAAGACTGTTCGTTGTGCTCCCAGAGGAAGCGCAGGATATAACATCCAACAACACCATGGTTGCCTCTATACCACATCCCCCTGGCCTCCCTTTCTTGGGGAACGTCTTCGATTTCGACCCAAATGACACCTGGGGCTCGTTCAAAAAGCTTGCAGACAAATACGGTATGCCAGCGAAGTTTGTCAAGTCTCCTCGCTTGAAGTTCCTGCTAATATATGATAGGTCCTATCTTCAAGATCAAGGCTCTCGGCAAGCAACTTGTCATAGTTGGAAATGTCGAGCTTGCCGCAGAGGTATGTGATGAGAAACGGTTCCGCAAGAACATTCAAGCACCAATGTTCCAGGTTATGCGCCAGGCAGTCCATGATGCTCTATTTACTGCCTACGACCATGAACCCAGCTGGGGAATAGCACACCGGATCATGGTGCCTTTTGTTTCCCCGTCAAGCGACGACGTGCGGTTGAAGGAACTACAGGAGATGGCATCAGAGCTTGTTACACGATGGACATCAGGTTCTGATCAACCCCAGCGTGTGTATATAACGGAAGATATGAAACGGTTAACTACCCAATCGGCAATGTATATCTTCTTCAATCAACGCCACAATGTACTCGGCGGCGAGGGACCACCCATTATCGAACTATTGGAACATGCCTCCTGGGAAATGGTTAAGCGGCCCAACAGGCCAAAGTTCCTTACCTGGCTCCTCTACAGGGACGTCTACGAGAAACAGATTAGAGACTTTCGCGGGATGGCATCCGATTTCATTGCTGCTAAAAGGGCGGAAAACCCTCCTAAGCAAGACATGCTCCATGCCCTCCTGTCAGCTAAAGACCCCGAGACAGGCGAAACTGTCGACGAGGAGAGGGTCATCGATGAAATAATCACCATGGTAGTTACGTCGACTACTACTGCTGGCCTCATAACATTCTCTTTGTTCTTTTTAATGAAACACCCTGAAGTTATGGCCAAGGTTCGGCAGGAGATCGACACTGTTTTCGGTTCTAATCCTCAGATCACGGCGCAGAGCTTATCAAGGCTGCATTATCTAGATGCGGTTCTACGAGAGACGTTACGGCTCTCTGCTTCCGCACCAGGCTTCCTCGTCGAGCCCATCCCTTCAGATCACCCAGGTGACGTTATGCTTGCAGGAGGAGAGTATCGGGTACCAAAGGATCAATCAATTCTGGTCCTACTCGGCGCTGTAAACCGCGATCCTGAAGTGTTTGAAGACCCAGAAACATTCAAGCCAGAACGTATGCTAGAAGAGTCCTTTGAGAAACTACCACCTGGTGCTAAAAAGTGGTTTGGAAACGGCAAGCGATACTGCTTCGGCAAGAGATTTGCTCTGCAGTTGACTATGGTTGTTTTGATTGAGGTGCTGAGGAAATTTGACCTGCAGATGGCAGACCCAGACTATCAGCTAAAGGTCACTGGAAAGGAAATTGTTGCTTTCCTTCAATCTCCAGCACGGCTCTTCGCCATAGCCAACCCTAGGAAGGAGTCTTCTCATAGCTAAGCGAGCCTATACAGGTATACAATACATGTCCATTTCTATTGTCTTATCCTAATGTGGAATATATGCTATGTTTATGGTCAACCCGAAAATTTTCAAAATGATAATGCAGGAATAAAAGACAGTCTGGCAGAGATATTTCCACGGAGATATAGAGTATGGTGTTGTATATTCGCTGCCGTAGATCGTTACACCTAGACCATAGCTAAATACTCTATACATAGTACGGAGTAGCAAGGGTTGGGCGGTTATACTGCTGATCACCGTGCCTTGCATGGGGGTGGCGTCACAGCCCCTTGACCTAATATATCCTTATTATAAAAATGACCAAAAAAAAATCTCGTGTTGATGCAGATATCAATCGTTGTACGAAGAGCTGAATAATGCATAGATCGACCAAATAACCGTCCTTGGGGAAGTTGCACCACCCATAAATCAAACAAGTCACACCCTTTAGTAAAGAAAAAAAAAATAAAATAAAAAAAGGAAAAACCGTAGAGAAAACACGTTATTAACATACAGACATGTGGCTCGCAATGCACGAGAAAAAAATGAAAAGGGAGGAGGGGAAAGAAAGGGATGGCCAATTCGGAACTGGTCTCAAAGTGACATTCTTCCTGTCGACGGAGAGATGACAGACGCCGTTGGATCATGGAACCGTCATCTCCCTTCGGCCGTAGTCGTCCTCGTCGCTGTATTTGATTTCGGGAATCGCCTTTCCATCTATGATGAAGAAAGCCATCGATGGCCTTCGGCGTGGTCTTGATCGTTTGAGGTGAATCCACTGCATAAAATCAAAGAATGCAATGGTGACAAGGAGCAGAATGACTACGCCTGTTATTATTATCCCAGGAGTTAGGAATTCAACCCGGCCAGAACTCCCAGCTGTGCTAATACCGGATTCTTTGACTAAGCGAAGCCACCCCGGGCTGCTGCCAGCGTACCCGTTGAGCTCGTCCGGGAGAAAATCGTAGTCGCGGGAGTTGGCAATGACGCCAGATGCGTCGGGAGAGTAACCGGATGTTTGTGAAGGTGATACTGATGGCGAGTCGTCCTTTACATCCTGATGGAGGGCTTCGGTATCAGTATTTTGTAATTGACTGTCGGTCCTCATGACCTAAAAAATATCATGGTCAGCCAACTCTCGAACTATCTTCTCATACTGTGTATGTTTGAAAGTGGACTGAAGAGGGATAAGGCGGAAAATACCCACCGTTTGGTCGTCGTTCTGTGCCTCTTGGGCAGCTAACTCTTCTCTGGCGATGGATACTAGATTACGTATCCCATCCCCAGTATGCATGGGCTGGCTTAAAACCTTCTTCAACACAGAAGCAGCTTCATAATCAGCCAAAGAACGACCTGGTTGGTAGTCTCTTAGATGGCCAGTATCGTGAGATGGGTGTAGGGGCTGTCCGTTGCAGGAGATAACAAAGAGCAGTAAGGCCGAAGCCACCAGCCCTCTAAGCGAATGCATGTCCCTTCGTCCGCCCTGAATGGCCAAAAAACACAAAAAAGCAAGCTTAGGGCCCTCTCGGTTCGAGCACCCGGCCAAATGTTATATATATAAGAAAGGTATCCAGGAGTGGACTAAAGGGGGCAGCAGAAGCGAACTTGGTGAACCCGAGCAGACATGTGAGGTATGCGAACGAGCCCTTCACCCTCCCGGTATCACAAAGCAGAAGCACAGCAAACTTGGTTGCACAGAAATTCTCGATGCAGTGAGAAATCCTCTCATCGCTTTGAGTCGAACGGGAGGCGCCGCGGTATTTATTTATTTTTCATTTATTTGGAGTGTGGTTGCATTTTTCGCGCATGGAAAGACATCGCAGCTCCAGGATAATCCAAAAAAAAAAAAAAACCAACCTAACTCCAACTCGGACGCCGCCCCCAGGAATTTAGAGACAGGAATGGAGCCGACCACCGTCAAGGCTAAATTGTGTATAACAGTAGTATGTATGTTTCAAGATCCTTGTCTCAAGTTGAGAAGCTTTTTTTTCTTTTGGGCAAATGGTGTCTTGCGTGGCCTCCAGGCTGTGGTCCAACCAGATCGTAGTAACTAGACGCTATCAAAGAGAATTGAAAACTTCTCTCGAAGCCACAGCGGGATTTGCTTGCGTCACGGCTTTGAGTCAAGCTTTTTTGAAAGGATCCCAGCAAGACAGTTGGCTACGCGCCCAAGGAACCAGTGACCAGCCCGCTTCATTTGAGTCTCGAAGACGGGATCAAGAAAGGGGCTCGATTATAAAGAGCGCGTAGATCCTTTATAACATATCCAGGGAGCAAGCCCATTCTTTTTTTCGACTGTTAATATATCTGAATTCGTTGGCAAGGTCGGACCAACAAGTCAATTGCAGTAATATGATAAACGTGTGCCTTGTCGTTACTTCGTGTAGCCAGTCATATCACTGACGTACGTAGTATATAAGTTGCCCCTGAATAATGCTGACGAAAAGGATTGCATTGTTGGAAATGGCCAGGGATAGAATGTCGTGTCATCGATCGAATGTGAGCAAGATCTAAATCTGCCACGCCCTCATATCCACCTCTTGCGACTCCAGCTGAGGCTCAAACAAGTTCGAACAAGGACGCAGACTTCAAGTGGTGCTGTCTCGGCCTCTACACCTCAGGTTAAGGGCTTCCTATATTATCGTTTTGTGGGAGTAAATATGGCCTGATCCCATCGTTTGAATAAGACATTCTCGCTTGGGGAAGCTGTCCTTGGCAGTAAGCGTAAAACTCCACGCTAGAGGCTCTCCTTTGCGGAGGGATTGCAGGGATACAGCCGTTGACCGGGGAGGTTTGGTGACGGAGCAAGGGGAGAGGGGAACGTTCATGATGGATATAATAATCGCGAAGCCGTTGACTGAGCAGCTTATTCATGTTGTTGCATGAGTTCCTTTCACTTTTCACGTATATAATCAGACTGAACCTTGGTGAATGTTCCGGCTCTTGGACGTTATATTGCTTTTTGAAGCCTATTCAAATCGGCATAATCCACCGTTCGAGGGGACGTTTGAGCTTTCTGTGATAATATCAAATAATCAGCCTGCAGCATCCTCTAGCAGCCAAGCTGTCTCTGATAACTAGATATTGCGGTCGTTCCCGTCTGATAGTTAGCTGGTTCCTGTCATGTAAATGGTAATATTCATGGCCGGTTGAAAAATAGTCAAAACGATGTCTGAACCGCAACCTCAGCCCAAGCCGCGCACAAGAAAGGTCACTACTCGTTCGCGTAATGGATGCTGGACCTGTCGAGCCCGGCGCAAGAAGTGCGATGAGAAACGGCCGTTCTGCACTCCCTGTGAGCGTAAGTCGTTGCAGTGCAGCGGATATGGACCTCGTCTGAAATGGGGGAACGGGGTGGCCTCACGAGGATATCTGATGGGCTCAGCTATCCCGGTGCATCCCAAGGATGTGCCTGGCGGGAAGAACGAGCAGTCTGCGTCCTCTTCTGCAGCTCAACCGGCTCGTATATCGACTGGAAACGCTGGTGGAGTGAAGCAGAAGAGTCCCAGGGGCAGCCCAACGGCCAATATAGGGTCGCTCTCGGAGTGCATGGGAGTCTTGAACTTCTCTGTGCCTCCAACGCAGACGAGGACGAGTTCTCCTTCGCCAAAGGTCAAGTCAGAGAAGTCTACTGCTGCTGCTGCTGCTGCCGCTGCATCTTCTTCTCCAGTTGAAAGGTCTCCGTCCGTGGCTACGTCAAACTCGCTGGTGACGGCTATACCGCTCAGCCCCTTTGACGAGGAGATATTTGAAGAATGTTCGTCCATCTACTATGTATACATGCTGATCTTGCTGCACTAACTTGCTGAACCAGTTAAAGAATGGGGATCCCAGTATCTGGCAGAGGCCGGACAGTCTCCCTTTGGAGATATTCTTGCATTCTGCTCCGAGTCCAGGTCGTTGATAGCGAACTGCCTCATGTTTCAACTGACCTTGCATCCCGAGCATGAAGATAAATTCGAAGAATACTATGCAAAGTCGCTCAGGCTCTTCCGTGAGGACGTATGTGATACCAAATGCGCAATGAAAGATGCCACTCTCATCGCTGGAATCTTACTATGTTCTATTGGAGTACGTCCCCCCCTTACTTCAGAAGAAACATATATCTAACGTCTTAAGATGAATCGTTGCATGAAATGGACCATTCATCTTAATGGCCTTTATTCGATAATTCGATATCGCAACACACTCTCTGCTCCAAGCCATATCAGCTCCGAGATTCTAGACAGCATCGGCTTCTTCGACCTTCCCACGCATGTTCTAGGCCGAGCAACGAAGCCCTTGAATATATGGAGAGACTACTGTCGTGGTAAAAGCGGGATAGAGCCGAACAGCAATATACCATTCAGCTTAATAGATCTTCTCTCCCTGGTTGGCCAGACAGGGGTTGAGATGCAGTTGTGGACATGGCAGTGGAACGATGGCGGTAACGAGAGCTCTGGCCGAAACGCACACCCACCTAGCCTGTTGACCCGACTGGCATGGGACGCCACTCGTTTGGCGGGAATTATCTCCTCGAGGGAATATAAATTGCTCAACCACGTTGAGATTACGGACCTTTCTGCCTCGGACCCATATAAGTCACCACAAAGTGAAAATGATGGCTGTCCGCCTACGCCGTTCCTCGTTGAGGCAATACTATCTAACCTTACTACGATTCTCACCACAGACTCCTCACAGCAACCGCAGCAGCCCTATAGCCAGGATAGGCAGCACCAGCAACCGTCACAGGAGGCGTGCGAGGTGCTTAATCTCTTACTTTACCCTGCCTTTGTGGCGGGGAACCAACCTACCCTGCTCACGCCGCAGCATAAACAACGTATCGAAGTGTTTTGGCAAGAGTTGTTTCCGGACATGGGTGCTGACGGGCCGGGAACACCACATATCCAGGTACCGTTGGACATTCTGAGAGATCTATGGAGGGATGCGAGGGGCAGGACTGCAGATATGATCGCCAAAGAGCGTGGGGTAGAGATTGGGCTGTTCTAAGTGGATACTTTATGACATTGGTATGATGCGAATGTTAATGATACGGCTGATTTAATGATAATGACTATTTAGAAGTATTCAATTGTCGTCCGCCAAGGTATTTCATATACATATAATATTTGATTTGAGGTCAACTCTCGTGTAGGCTATCAAGAACCTGGCAGAGAGGAGCAGACATAGAATGAGAAACAAGACATAGCAACTGAATAGGGAATATAGCTATGTTAAAACATATAAACCGTAGTCAAGAAAAGAATCTAGAAGGACGAAATGAGCCTTCAAAATACAGATAACAATTTCTGGTTTTGCATTTGTTTTTGTTTTTATTGTATATTTTCTGCATGTCTAGAAGATGAAGAAGACGTTTCACCCTAAAGCGTTCCTTGGTGGAAGAGAGCCACGGTAGAGCAGAAGTTACTCCTATTCTCCTTCTGAGGAACCAGCCCCTTGCCTCCGGAAGTGATCATGTTGGTGCTAGCTTTGGTACTAACACCGTACAGATAAGTTTGAGAGCAAAGCACTTCGATCATGTTGAGCTGGCAGGATTCAGTCCTGAGGCAGTCTTGGGCGTAGTTCTCGAAGAAGCTGTAGAGACCGCCTCCGAAGAGGAAGACGTCAGTGGAATTTAGAATGCGGAGACCCCACGCTTTCTTGCAGGCGGCAGTTGTGCAGTCGCCAAAGGTTGGGTCGTTGTATTTGGAGTCCGGAGCAAAGGGGACAAGGGCATCTGGGTTAGATTGGTAGTATCTATAACATTTATTAGCTATGCATGCACAAATTTTGTTATTGATAGATAAAGCAAAGAAGGTACGTACGGAGTCTCAGTCTGGATCAAAGCCATGTAGACGTTCTTTGCGTTCTGAATCTGGTAGTTGTATAGAGTGTTGTGCTCCGAGGCGGTGCCGTACATCCAGACGGCGCCGGAGCTCTCGATCAAGGCACCTCGTCCATTGTAGATGTTGATCTGGCCATGGTCAGAGAGGTCGAGTTCGTGATCCGACACCCACAACCAGGTGTTCTCGAGGTAGGCAGAGGCCGTCTTGGTGATGTGCAGGAGCATGAAGGCGCCAAAGCACTTTGGATCGGGGGTAGTCTTGGAGTTGGGCGTCTTGGCGCAGGTGTTGCTCTGCAGCTCCGTTCCGGCGAAACCGCCGACTCTGAAGTGAACATCCCACATACCGACGGAGCCCTGGGTCTGTTCAGCGACGTTCCACTCCACGAGGATGCAGCCGGGTGCAGGGCCCTTGGTGGTGACGATGATGTCGGACATCTCGACGGTTCCCTTGTCACCTGGCTGGCCAACCTGGAGCATGGGGATGGGGTTCTTCATGTCGGAGAAGGCTTTGCCGGTGGCCATCAACATGGGCCAGATTTCTCCAGTGATCTTGATGTTCTTGGGCACTTTGATGGTGGAGGTGATGAGGTAGGCTCCGTGGTCGAAGTAGACGACCTGGTCGGCGGTGGCCTTGTCGAGGACAGCCTGGATGGCCTTGGTGTCGTCCGTCTTGCCGTCTCCCTTGGCTCCGGCGCTCTTGACGCTGATGAACTGGCTGACGGGGACATTCTCGTACTGTGGCTTTGCGCGCTCAAAGACCTTACCGGAACTGTCGAGCAGGATGGCTGGCTTGCTGGGCTGGGGTAGGGCGGACTGGACGCGGGCCTTGGTGACGGCAGCGCCTGGGCAGCTGGCAGGTCCGGCTGGTGGAGTGGAGGGAGTAGGAGTCGATGGGATGGAGGCAGAGGTACCGGATGGAGCTCCTCCCGTTGGTACTCTGGTTGGAACGTTGCTAGGTTCACTGGAGGGCACTCTGGTTGGTT